CGCAGAGTTCCGACGTAGCAGCTGTCGACACCTAAATTAAAACAGGTAAATATGAATGACAACGTATCTGTAGCCCGCATATAAGCGAGCTGCCAAACTTATTGGGGATGCATGATGAATTCTGGGTCACCTTCCCATCAGCGGACTTCTCTCTTGCTAGCAATTCGCTCTAACTCGCTTTTCCAGAAGTGCAAGTCAGACCGATGACAATGGGACGAATGTCTGGTTTGTGCCAACACAGTGACATGATAGTATGGGCAACATTTCCGGATGTGCCGTTTTTCTCCCCTAACGGCAAGTCCCGGTTACTCAGGCGCTTTTCTACACCTATCACACGTTCTGTCAATTCTACCCTGTCTCATAGGTGCGTTTTGTGATCTGGTACCTGTGTGCGGGTGGGTATGTCAGGACTCCTGCCGTAGTACCGACGCGTTTGGGTTAGCTGAAGTGTTAGGTGAAGTAAAGTGAGGTGAAATCTATTTTGTCCATATGCTTGGAAAGCTATTAATTCGACATCCCGCTGGTCAGCACCAAGAGGTACATACACTGCTTCACTAATCGCCGTCGATAAAACGCGTAGTGTTTGAACCCCCGGGGAAACTGACCGTGACTCGTGTATGAACAGCAGCTAGTGTAATCTGCCTGCCTAAAGCAATAAAATCGGAAATTGAGTGAAGAAAATTTGCTGGGAAACAACCAAGAGGCAACCACTCATTTTTGCTAAAGCGGTTACTAAATCCTCGCTCAGACTGACTGTGAAAGGTTATTTGAGAGATAGTGCCGAATCAAAGAGCTTTGCAGTCTTTTCATAGACGAAAAATGGAATAGGGGATGAAGCGCTAGACTGGCATTTTTCCATTTTTTCTTGATGACTACATTAGCTAGCTTTCCCCGTTTGGTAAAAATAATGCCGCACTTGGAACTTTTAGAAGGCAGAAAAAAAGAGAAGTAAGTCTTTTCACTCCAAACGACTCGAAGGTCACTAAGATTTCACTTGGTCTTTGCAGCAAATATCGTTTTCCTAGTGTGTGAGAACCCAATAGTTGTGATTGTTAAATTGTGTGCATACAGGCACCGCTTTTATAATGCCCGATGTCGTTTGTCTTTTAAGGATTTCCTTTGCATAGTTATTCAGAATCCATTTCATTCAAACCCGATAAGGGCCAATCTTTTCTCAGAAGATATCATCACTTTACCAAGAAACACTACATTCCCATTTTCCAGTGTTCGAATCCCTAGGTATAGAAATAGTCGAAAAGAAGAGGAAAAAGAGTAAATATATACCTACAAGTTAAGAGAGATAGCATGGTAACTGATCCAATGAGTAGCCACAGCAAACCACTGAATTTGTATCAAATAGTAACATTAAGTAAAGAACCTATTGAAAAATGCTTAAGTGGGTTACCAAGTGAAGTGTAGGCTACATACATGTTTTTGCACAATCTCTTCCACCGAATATGTGCACTTGCAGATGATCTATCAACAAATCTTTCTACTCCACAATATGGCACTGATATTTTCAGTTAATTCGCTATAACTGAGCTCAAAAATGATAAATGCATATAAACTTGGGTATAGCAGAAATTGCTGGTAAGAGCACCTACTTCCTCTGTTGAATCAGAAAAACTTTGTCACTTGTGAAAGTGATTGAGTGATCAAGGGTTGACAGAGAGGTGGAGGCAAATATGAATGGTAGGGCTTTGCACCATCCAAGTTTTTAATTAGTCTACAAATATAGATTGTTGCCTCTGTCGTTTCCTAACCTTGAGGGATCAGTGGGTTAAATTATTATCAATCAGTCTCTATGAACCGCAACAACCTCCATATTGGGTGTAATGCGTCCGCATTTGAAGATTTAGGGGAGGAAGAAGTCAAGATTAATTACAATCCGCATTGTCTCTTCCAGGACAGCTTTACCTTTTAGTTCCACACAGCCAGGTCTTTAAGGAGGTGCATACTAGGGTGAGTGATGCAGCAATAGATTTACATTTCCTTGACTAGGGAAGGCGTGTCAGCAGATAAAATCTACCTTATTCATATGCTTAGGAAACTGTCAAACTGACTTGTCACTGATCATCACTAAGAGGACCACAGACTACTCTACCAATCGTCACCTGTAGGATAAGGATTATTTTACCCTCTAATAGTCGATCCTGCACTGCCTCCTAAATACTGCAGGTGGGATCCGCCTGACTAAGAGGAGAGAACGCAAATATGAGTTGAAACAGTAACCTAAGGAACATCCTCAAAGAGGTGTTTGACAAAGAGCGGACTCGCAAGTCGGGGTAGGCAATGAGAACAGTGGTGCTAAAATGGTAGCATTTTGCAACAGTCACTCAGGCAAAGAAGAACGGGGGAAAGGACAAGAAGTGGGGTATTAGAAGCGAAAGTGGGAGGGTGGAAGGAAGGGTGGTGGTTTTGGAGTCAAGATATCTTAGTAACGCCAAACATATTACAATTTTATTTGTGTTGGTGATAAAGCATCCAAATAAGTAACGCTGAGACGCGTTTTCAGTCTCCTCATTCACTTCAACCTTCTTCCCTCTCTCTTGTCACTTGGATATTTTGCCCGTTTTCCCTGACGATTGCACAAACCAATTTCTTTCTTTGAAAGTGGGTGCTAAGTGTGAAGGTTTTTTGATAGCAGAGATTGGGAGAGGCATTTGCTGTAAAGGACTCGAGATCGGTTGTGAGGTCACTTGATTGATAAGTCCATTTGTCGCACTCCTCATCGGTGACGACCCATTAGCTGAGATGCCTGAATATGGACATGTTACCACCGGAACCGTGATGCCTGATATCGGTTGACAGCTGATAGCTTGGCTGCTTAGGATGTCCCTAGTACAGCTACAGGATGGCCACTCCACTTAGACTACAACGTCCCTCTCCTGGTAGAATCCATCACCCTACCAAGAAACCGTTTAGGCGGCCCACGGTTTATTTGCCAATTGTGTGGTACTCAAACGACTTGATATAGACCAAGCTGACAAGCGAAGAAGCAAAGAAAAAATATACTTGAATTAAGAGAGACAGAATGGCTACTGATACAAGGGACAGCATCCGCAAGCCAATAAATCTGTCTCAAGATGTTGTTAGCAAAAAAACTGCATTACCTAAGCTACTCATTGAATAGACGTTACTAAATTACCAAATTGAGTGTAAATATATGCGCGTGCGTATAAATCAAATTCTCAAAGAAGGAGTCGGTTTCTTTTAGAAATGCGTATGAAGAAGACCTTATTTTATGCACAAATTATAGATTCCTGTTGAAATTGGTGCTTCGAGGTAGTGCCATTGTTTGAATATTAGAGAAAGTGCAGAAAACACTACCGCAACAACATCTTGCAAAACGAGTGCCAACGAATGGAAGGCATCATCCTTGCCCCCAAATGCAACTGAGACTAAAAAGTTGCAGTGTCTACACTTCATTCTTTAATTCTTTTCCTCGAAATGAACACCTGCAAAGCCGACCAGCCTCTCTTTTCCAATGAATGGCTCAGGTTCTTTTATTTGTTGCTACTGCTTCTGGTTCTTCGTACCATCTCATTCGCTCCTCTGCCTTATTCGTCTCTCTTCCTAACCTTCTAGGAGCTGAGCCTCAACTAACACCTGCCACGAAAACTTTCACTTTAAATAATGTATGAGTCCAAGACTTTTGGAAGGCCTCTTGATAAATCTTTAGGCAGAGTTGCTTAAAATGAGCTCAGCAATGACAGTTGAATGTAATTGTGGACAATAGCAGAAATTTCTCTTTCCGAATCATCTCTTATATCTGTCAACAGTGCAGAAAGATTCCGTTTCTTATTGTGAACAGAACTTATGTTGCAAATACATTCATGTGAGGTGTAAAAAATAAGTTTTTTTTAAAAATATTCTTAGGAGAAAGGCAAGTACAGATCACAGCAATAGTTCTGTGGTGTTAGGATAGCAAGGTTGACGAAAAAAATAAAACCGCCTAGAGATATTGCATTTTGCAGGATTTCTAAAAGACAGACAACTTTTCGACAAATTGTATAATAATAGACTTAGTGAGTTGTGCTATTTCATTCAATTTTAGAGGGAATGCGGTAAAAAACAAGACGGAGTTGTTGCTGAATCCTGATCGGTAATTTCGTGGTGCGGGTTTGAAATTAGCTTGATTCGGACTCTTAGTGGAGGTGTTTGTGGTTCCTTAGGCCATGCAAACTGAATTATTTGCATGGGTAAAGACATTCAAGATTGTCAATTTCAACGGAATGTGAATTTTACTGCCAGTTTGTGGACGAGTACATAGCGCGCAATTTGAGAAAGGCTTTTTAAAGGAGATGAAAATGGTCTAAGACTAGAGGGGTGAATCAAACGCCACTATTTGATTGCCGCATATGCAGGATCACTTAGGAGCTAAACAATTAGAGAAAATGGAGTCTAGGAGAAAGGTTCCTACCTACACTCAAAGATATCCAGATAGTCATCAAAGTCAACGAATGGCGACTATGTTTGACACAAAAAAGTGAACCGGAAGCCTATTTCCAAGGAGCAATTATTGAAAATTGGATCAGTATGGCCACCTTTCACTCATAGTCGCTGCGAGAAGTCAAAATGCAAATGTGGTGACTGTGTTCATCTCTGCAGGTGAATAGTATTTTCTTCACAGTTTGACCTCCATATCTATATCCCCTGATTGAGGCACTACGACTTGACGGTAATTGCAAAATCAAACATCACGAATTCCTAAATATTTTGTCCGCTGTTACCTAACAGACCTCATCATTTAGGCTGCTGGAGGTTGCACAGGTGAGTGAGCAAGTAGAAGGTTCGACTAATGAAGCCATCTATGTAGAGATATTACATCTATGCGAAAGTGACTAGTGGTGACATTCGACCTAGCAATAGCCACATGTTTATCTGCCTCGTGTTATGCAGTGCATGATCACTGCGGTGACAATATCATGTGACATCTGCTGTGAGTAAAACTGTCACAAGTAAAGGTTAAACTGAGCAAGGTAGTCCAAAACCCCACACTAGCTACATGCCGTGTAAGATGCGAGGGTAAGGGCCGATCCACTATCACAGCACAATTCGGGTGTCGTGGAGGCATCTTTCCAGATCAGATATCTCACCACATCAATGTGCTGGAAGAACATGGCATTCATTAGGGGCAGCTTGTTAGGGTAATTGACGGCATCCACGAGGATTCTATGCTGCACAATCAGACGTACACAGTTTATGCTGTCTACCTTAGGCTCTGATTGAAGTGCCGTGTTGTCATATGCATCGGTGACAGTAACAGATGCACCGTGCCTGAGGATGGCACATATTGCCCCATCAGAACAACACGTGGTGTCCTTTACATGGAGTCACATCCGGATTAATCTATTATGCAGACAGAAAAGGTAGAGCATACATACAAAATAAATACGGCAGTTATGCACTTCCCCATTGGTCGAAATTTTCTTATTTTTCCTTTCAATGAGGAAGTTGACAAGAACAGACTGACCCTGAGACTTGTTGCCTCTGCAATACACTGCATTTATCATTTAGCTATTCTGCGAGACAAGTTGGCGAAGGATGTGGAATAACTACTGAAAACTAAAACGATTTGTGGTATTTGTCTACCTTCAAGTACGTCCAAAATACGGATGATTTTAGTTCTCTCCTGCTTACTTTTGAAAGACAGAAGTGTGGGCACAAGTAGTAAAAGCGAGGAGGGTGAATTAAAACCCTATTGAAATAGCGATTTGAGGGCGGCAGGATTGCTGGATACGGCGGCTTCTGCCATTGCGCTCTGGTAGGAGGACCACAATTATTCAACAATTAGAAAGCAGGAAGTTCCATCAAAGGCATTAAGTTTGGCGCACCCTTAGCAACTGGCAACGATGCAAAATTGCTCACTTTATCACTTCCATGCATCCCAGGACGATTCATGCTGTCGAAATGAGGCTCTGAATTGTTAATAAGACCTGCTTTTGCCTGAGCTGCAATAACGAATGTGGACTTTTATACCGAAATAAATTTCTTTTATTGGATTAATAAATATTGCTACAACTTTTCAAAATGAAAGAATATTTAGCGTGGGCAGACTCGTGTCGTGTGGTAGATGATTACCAATTCCCTGTTTAGACTTGCTGGTCAAACCTTTGGCTTTAGATAGTCAACCACCAAATTAGTGTTCTATTTTGAACATCATTACTTTTCGCATGATGCAATGGTCCTCCGGTTGTTCGATTCTGAAAACAACCCTCTAATCAAGGTTTAAAATTTACGGTCTTTTGGTGCACAACTGTTCTTTCTATTTAAACAATGGAAAGCAATATTTAAATGTTGGAAAATTTGATAGAATGGTTTGGAAATTAGGAATGGAGGCCTGGATGACTATGATGCACTCCTAGTTTTCTAAGGTTGAGACAATTCAAGTGATTCGGGAAACAAGGTGCATAATAATCAACATTTATTGACACAAAGTAGAAATTAAATGACCTCAAAGTGTCAAAAGTGGTTGGTAATCACACCGTTGACAGGTAGGGAACGCAGTGACTCGGAATTGGTGCCAAAGGATCAGAATACCCCATCAGTATCCGGTACAAATTAATTTTTTCCTCCATGGAGATGAATTCTCCCTTTCTATTTCGTAATTAAGGTGCCATACTGTCCTCAACCTTTTCACCTACTTAGTTTCCACCCATCGATGCTAAGCTTACAAAGGTTGCTTACAACTTAAAACAACTGCTTGATAGCAACGGCGCACTGCAACATGATTAAGCGTGCTTACTGTGTTGCCAAAAGTTCCCGCCACGTTTGAGCGTAGGAGTCCACACCTTCGATTGGTTCACCGATAAGATGTGACGGTGATGAGATGTAATTTTGAGGACATATTTTGCTATAAGATGCAAAGAATTGCCTCTTTGTAATCTGACAGTGTACGCAGCGTTTTCTTCGTGGACGAGTCAGGCGGTGGCACCCACAGTTTGCAGGGTCCATTAAGCTGGCTGGACTCAGGACTACCTGAAATGTGCCTAATAGTAAAAGAGCATTTGGTGAGTGAATACGTGAGCGGGTGAGTGGATGACACCTACATTGCCTTAATTAGGAAAAGACTGTTGCATATTCCGTTCCAACCCACCCTACTCCATCACACTAGGCACACGACTACCCAAAGGTGAGCTGAGTCCGCATGCGACTACTGTAGTGGAGGTGAGGAGTAAGGAGAGGGAATTTGGGATGGGACGGAACATTGATCCCATTCACACCTTTTATTGTGTCTTTACTGATCTTAAGGCTGCCATTAATTACTAGCACATTTAAAAGATCATCATGCAATTAATTAGTGAACAGTCCTTAAAGGGTCGGCCGCAGTTCTCATCGGTTTGTGTTCCAGAGCAATCAAAACATAGCTTGATCAAGGCAGAAGAAGTCATTTACCTGTAAAATCGCTTCAGTAAAGGGGCGCTCATGTCGATAACCCGAACACTCTATCGCGTGTGGATTCGCCTGATGAAGTAGGATGAGATGAGCTGTGTCAAAATGAGATGAGAATGCGAGAGAAGCTGATGGCAGACTGGAAAGTCAAGCAGCCAAAATGATACTGCAAGTTTCAGCGCCTTAAGGTACCACGTGACTGAATTTACGTTAGGGCAAATATCGCAATAATGCGTCGCCGCGTTCTCTCAGCGAGCATTGTCCCCAGTGCTCCCTTGTCGGCTTATATCATGACAAGTAGCTATTGGAACCCTCTTTAGCCGTAAGACATGGCAAGCTTTGATCAGATAGGAGGTGGTATCTACTGGTGTCAATTAGTGCTGTTGGTCCATTTGAGGCTTCTTAGTGCCCCTGCTACTGGGGACGAGTTCACTTGGGCTACACATTTAAGGGTAAACGTGTGTCTGATGCATTTCGAGAAGTTAGAAGGCACTACTTAGATTGACCCCCATACGGGCTTGCTATATTTCGTTGTAGTTTGGCCTTGCCTCGCCCCAAGCATACCCCATTCGTTGCGATCCAGGCCACTCTTCTGCCCTTTTGTGGTGGATGGAGGAACACAGATAACGTCAGCAGCATATTTTGGGGCGCATCAAATGGAGAAAGGCGAGTGCTTCCTCGCTTTTATCAGGCCATGCTTGGCGTCTACTTTTATCACTAATGTAGCAACTCCAATTTTCACCCGAGGTCACAGCACGTCGCATACAGTAGGATGACGCACTAAAGATTTGAGGCCAAAACATAGATTGTTTAAATATTTCTACGATTGACGAATGAACACATCACCTAGGGCTATAACTGCCTAATCATGCGATGGCCTAACCAGCTTTTTTGATAGATTATGCAGTCTAACCATGTTATCCCGCCTCGTGTGTTTCGAGTAATTCGACTAGTGGGACCGTTTAATTACCACCTGTCATTTGCGTCACATGGCCTGAAAAAAAACATTGACTACTAAACGTCGTAGATGATTTAACCCATTCTGACCCAGGGTCACGTGACTGTTCTAGCTTAGCAACAAAATGGACTAGGCGTTAGTTATCGCCGAGTCGTTTGGCCTCGCTTGAATTCTACCTTGGCATACGTGCTTCGTCAAAGACTTGTCCGGTGTGGTACCCTTGACTTATCTAGTTCATCCCCCCAATCGGCAGCAAACATCGCCTTAGTTTAACTCCCCTCCTCCTCTACTGACAAACGTCAAGGAAATGGCCCATGTTATCTGACTTATGACAAGTGACAACTATATAGGCAGTTGTGGGTAAAGGAGTACACTTTGGTGAACGTACTTTGAATGCTAAACAGACAATTTGTGCAAAGCTTTATGCATGGCAAACCACCAGTGGTAGAGCAGATCCCACTTATCACTGTTCAGATAAATAGGAATAATGGCGCGTGTGACATGTTTGCATCAATCTTAAGTTATGACCAATGCCATAGAGGGGAGGGGGGATAAGGAATGGAAGGGGAGTGATTTCTGTACAAACGCACATGTCTTTTGCATTGTCGTGGAAAAAATCCTCCACTTGTGGTGCCTCAAGTGGGTCATGATTCCTCCATGTCGTGCTTGAACATTTCGATTTAAACGTACGAAGTTATTTATTCATGCATTTGTGGACACATTTTCGGCATTCTTCGCTGCCTTGCAGATGCTCGTGGTGGCGCATTGACCCCAATTTTTTTTTGCTGTGTCAAAGTGC